CACCCGAACATCCCAGATTACTGCAACTGGTATTCCCAAGCGGTCACTCATCTAAGTACAGACCAGGCTCGACATTGCTTACCTTTGGTGATCTGGAGTTCTAACATGAGTTCTAATATGGAGTTGTAAGCCTTTATGTTTTTTAAGGCAATTCACATCCATGCAAGACGGGAGTGCCGCTAGCACGTTAGGGGTTACAGAGGATTCAGAACAAGAGTAAAGAGACGTGTTTGAAGAAAGGATAAAGAGAAAGACGGGGAACAAGCTCAGGGTGTCAGATGTCGATTGATATTACACTTGAATATTTGAAGATTATAGTCATCGGGGGAGCAAGTAAGGGGAAGACGGGAAGTACGGGAGAAGTCGTTTGAGAAGAAAAGACGGTTATAGCAAATAATATATAATGGAATAAAATGAAATTGTACTTTATTTTTTGGAGTAGATAAATAAAAACGGGGATTATTTAGGACCCAACCTCACGTATTGAATTCTTTTATTATTAGGTTAAACCTTATCAGTTAATAGATATTGACTATTTTTTTTTTTTTTACTTGTACTTTTGACCAACGAGATGTTTTTGTATCGGAGAGAAACATACTTTGCTTAACAAACCAAAGGTCGGTCTTTCTTCCCACATGAAAACAGTTGCTGTTTTTGGTTGTGCTCGATTTTCTTTCTGGCTGTTGAAAGAGGCAGTCCTCTGATGTCGATGGTTTCCTGCTGCTGGGAAAACCGGATTTCAGCCGCTCAATCATTGTTTTTCCGCTGCGGCTCAAACTTTTATGGACTGGGGCCAGAGATTGAAGTCTTTCTTTTTCCGCCAAGAAACGATTCGGATGGACAGAGAACAAGAAATGTTTCTTAGAAACGCTTAACGTCTGTCGACGGAGGTCGGGAGATAGAAGAAGGAAGGAAGAAAATATCGATCGACATTATTCTTCGTCACAAATTCAAACAAAAGCCTCTGAGCCAAACCAAAAAAAGAAAACGATAAAAAGAATACGAATCTTTATTTATCCGGTTTTTATACAGGTTGCTGTTCCTTTATGAGATGCACTAAATAATCATAGATTTTAACTAATAATCATAGATTTTAACTAATAATTACTTTAAAGCGACGATAAACAATTATTAATCTTTAGGATTTTTCTGTAAATTCACCAGAAAATATTAATTGACAACAAAATAAAAAGAATTTATATTTACTAAAATTCACACCAAAATTCAGAAAAGTCCTTTAAAAATTTGTTAAAAATGCAGTCATTTTTAATTTTGCTTTACGTATCCAAATAAACTCACACAGATAAGAGTCTATCATGCTACGATGAGTCCCAAACATGGACGTATTCTTCATTTTGGCGTTTTCTCATGTACTTTCAGTTGTTTGTGCCTGAGCTGATGTTTTTAGAACAATTAAATTCAGACTGTGATTATAATTGGGATCATCATTCAAAGATGTATGTCCTTTCCAAGAATCCGACATCATCATAGTCCCTGGTAAAATACAGCTTCGGATTATGTACAATAATATGAAGGCTCTCATCGATGTAGGATGAATATTTACTGTCTGTAAGAAGCGAGAACTCTACTCTCCTTGATGTTGCATTCTTGTATTAACTCCAGTAACATCAACAAATTTTGATTTAAAATTTATAATTTCAAGTGTGTCAAAAATTTAATTAAAAACAATCTTTGATTTTAAAATTTCTTTTTTTGGTATATTGATATTTGTGATAAGTAACATTACGTTATTTGGGGCGAAAAGATCCAATCTTTATACTAAAATGTCCATTTCTGACTTCTAAATTACTGAGTGTTTTTATCTATATATTTATTTATTTTTAGAAGAATTAATTTATTATCTGCTTTTGTTTATGATCAAAATAATTGTGAATTTTTTTTCATAAAAAATATATAAACTATTATTACGTTCATCATTGACCAGCAGATTTTATTTCTAATTGCGCCCATAACACATTTTCATTCAGCTAAAAGTCCTCTCATGTTCCTTGTAATATCAGCGAAAAGCCCGAACGCATTTTTCTAATTTTCTAAAAAGTGCGTGCGCCATTTTCATGCAGCTGACGATTTATGTAAAACGGGTCCGATTTTCGCGTAATATATCACCTTTTTAAATCGACTGACCAATTCTATTTGCCTCAGTCTGAAAAAATATTATAGAGAACTCCTCCCATTTTGAAAAACTTCGGAATTTTAGCTCATAAAAAACTCTTCGCTGTTTCTTTATTTTTGAATACATCGCATGAAAAAAAATAAGCCCCATGTCAGTTTTAAATTGTTAAAAAGCAAAATGAGTTATTTTTTTATTTTGATTTATTTATTCATCTATTTCTTAGAAGAATGCAAATGTTGTTTTCCTTTATGAGAAATATAATTAAACCTTCCTTTTTTTTCTTGAATGACCAGCAGAACTGATTCCTAGCTGCGTTCACAACGAACAATTTTATTCAGTTAAAAGTTTCTGCTCTTTTCCTGAATTTTTTTCAAGTTTTGGCAAGGTGGATGCGCTCCTGCTGACTTTAACAATATGATTTCTAATAGAACCCATACCAACCAAATTCGGTAACTCAATAATTAGTGCCGAGTTCGTAAGAAAGCAGAATTATTGATTATGTTCACTTTATTCGGCAAACATTTAAACGGCGTTAATTATATTTTATCAGTTTTTGTTTATGTACTCCTCGCCATACTTGTAAAATCGACCGATAATTTTTCGTTAGTTTTAAAAGATTAAATGCAATTAAATCTACTATATTTATTAAGTTTTCTTCTCGACTCGAAGCGTCTCAGTTTTCTAGATCTTTTATAAGACCGTTCAAATTATTAGATGAGATACTCTAGCTGTTATTATTGAATAGTTTCATATGCCTCGAACGATTATTATTCATTTTCGCTTCTCTTCAATATTTTCTTGACTTTGTTTTCAGTATTTTATTTTTGTCATTTTTATCTGCATTGTGAGTTTAGGACCGAACCTAATTTAATTCGCTCACATAGGATTTTTCGTTTTAAGAAATGAATATTTTGTCGATGTAGCGTAATTTGAATATTTCGAAGCCTGCCAAATGTAAAAGGAGATTTCGTTTAGATTGAAATGTTGCAGGTTTTCCAAGTACTAGACACAATTCTATTGGTTTTAGATTTTCGAAATGGATCTTTTTAAAGTTCAGTGATTTTTTTTTTATAAATGTCATTATCTATAGAAAGCAGGTGAAAAAAAACAAATAAACGTTTAAAAACTAACTGGTTTTCGTTTCTGTTAAGTTCATGTGAAATCTTTTTTCCGAGGTGTTGAATTTTAACTAACGTTTGTAAATGACTTCCTACACTTTTGACTGATTGCCCAAAATACAAATGAGCCGAGTAAACGTCTATAATTTCAATAACATTGAACAGAAGAAGCCGCTGAAAATTTTGTATCAACCTAATACTTACTAACGGACCAGAACGTTATTTTTTCTAAAAAAAAATTAAAAGTTTGCTTGATCGTGTGAACAGGAGATTTTGGCTTGGTCATTAGCGTACCATTAAAATCTACAGGGATTGTGCGGGTGATATTAGAGGAGCAAATAAAATTAAATAAAAACATGAAATAAATTATTATTATCATTATTATTATTATTATTATTATTATTATTATTATAAATTTATTATAGCGATTTTCCAAGCGTGGCTTAGATGTGTCACAAGGCCAAAAGTAGGTGCCGACATTTTTAAACTATAAAATGAATCGAACTCACTACTCAGTCGTAAGTTCTTCAAGCGAGACAAGTTTGATGGCTATTACACCGCCTCGAGGTACCCAAAGGTTATTTTCTAAGCGTAGCTTAGATGTGGCACAAGCCCGAAAGTATGTGGCATCTAGTGACGATCGAACTCACTTTTCAGTCTTAACTGATCTAGCCAGACACGCTTGCTGACCATTACATCACGCCCTAAGAGCAAAATTATTATATATTCCGTTATTAGACAAACCTTTCTATTTATAACGCGTTTCGCCATCGTCAGGTCGGTGTTATTAGGTCAGAATGAAATCCAAATCTTTATTTTTATAACTATTAAAACTGTTAAGTTCATTCCGACCTAGAAAAATCTGTTTATTTACCTATCTATTTATTTATTCTATCTATTATATATCGTCATCGGCTTTCTCATATCCAATAATTTAATTTCTTCTTTGCTGATCGCTTCGTTTATAATGATGGCGTTGATCACTAAATTCTCCGCTAACGTACAAGTTCAGGACTAGAAGCTTCCAGTTTCACTAAAACCTGCTTTCATCATCCATTCCATATCCCCGTTTGGCTTTACAAGAGTTAGAGTTGAAAGATTGTCAGAGTATAAGAATGTGCCGACAACATGAATTTGCTTAAGATAAACCTAAATTTACCAGGAAGTGACCCACACACTTGATTTCATGACCCTCCTCTGCGGCACATAGGGAATGAGACATACAGAATCCATTTATGAAAGTGCAACTGACCGCCGATCTATTTTAATTTCGAATGACGCCTTCTGTAGCATGTCTGTCATGCGTAGCCCTTTTCATCCGCTGGTTCAGCCGTTGAGATCTATTGTAATTATCATCCGCTTGTTCCACCATTGTGGTTTTTTGAGGTTGGTCACGCTTAGTTTTGGTCCCCATCTTTGAACTTGCCGGTAAGGGTGACCCTACCAGGAGTTTAAAACTCCCGACGGCATTGCTAATTATAAAATTATATAATAATGAAATGATAATAATTGTGATAATAAAATTAAATAATAGTAAATAGACAAATCAATCAATCTGGAGTAATTGTAAGATAATTGTAATTAGCAGTTTCCCTATAAGGAAACATTTCGCATTCGTTGACCGAGTAGCAAGTACTACTTTCGGTTGAAATCTTTCTCTTAAAACATTTTTTTTTCAGGAAAATAAGTTTCTCGACCCCATCAGCTTTTATCCCACTTTCAAGTATTGACAATGGTTTCCTTCATAATCATTTTGAAACACAGGTTCCCGTCCGAACACTGATGTTAAGTAGCGCCGAGCCTGGTCAATATCTAGATGGGTGACAGCTTGGGAATGCCGGTTACTGTAAGCTTGGATGTGTGGATGGTGTAATGGATAATGGCTCGGAATTTTTAATCTGAGTGCCGAGTTCCAATTCCAGTTAGAATCGCTTTATTCACTTACGCTCAAATAACCTGAGAAAGTCATGAATCCACCTCTTCTGTCAATCTAAAAATAATTTCTGGCTTTAAATAACCTGCAGCGCTGCACCTATTCTATGTCCAAATTTCTTATTTCCTATAATAAATTTATTATGTCTGATCCATAATCTTACGTATTTGGAGTGTTTAGCATTTACTAATTCCAATTCCAGATCATAATTTCTATTTTGGAACACTTGATTTTCTATACAAGATCATTCTGATCCCAACTATGAAAACGTATGGCCTTTGGAGGAACAAAAAGAATGTTGTTTTTTATTAGTTGATTCGTTTGGGATGTGTTAGAGAATGTTTAAATTATCAAAGCGCATAAAATAAATAATATGGTTGGTAGAAAATCCCAAATGCTTATATAAAATCTATTCAATATTATCGAAACTGTAATTTTTCTATGGAAAAAATTCCGTTATAGTTATTATGCAATTAATTATTGCTTTGAGCGCCTAACAAAACGCTATCAAGTTTTCCAGAATATTTTTCTAACTGAACACTCAAATTCTTTTTATGAGGCGCATTTTTATATCTTGCCTTCAGAGTTTCTCTTAAGTTACCCTTACTGTGAAATAAATTATAAACATTTTAACAAATTTTATACACAAGAATGCCTGTCGCTGGCAAGTTAGTTTACCCAGCCATTCATAGTAAAAGAGGTGATATTTATGCGGACGCCATCTCGAACGGAATCTGGCAAAATGCCGAGAGTTTGGGAAGAGAGGCCAAAAATAGTCCAGCCTCCTCGACACTTCTCCATTTTGGAAACTCTTCAGGCACATGGGATTAACCTTAACCCTCTCTCAGAAAAGTGGCACTGTTTGTTGTAACGGCTCTACTGAAACCCCAGTGTTATTAATGAATGTGATTTTTAGTTTTTATCATCATCATAGGTCCCATGACCAGGTCTATCGTATGGTTTCTGAACACCTGGCTAGTTCCCTCCAAATAACTGGACTGAAAGCCGGGCGGTATTCATTCATGTTTAGCGAGTGTTTTGGGCCACTACCTAGTGGTGATGGAGTCCATCCCTCTCCAAGTGAGACCACAAACGATATCCTCAAACTTGAAAGCCAGTCTTGGTAACGGACGCAGTTGACTACAGTTTAAAACGGCCTCCGTCCAGCAATGCCGAACCATCACTAAACTAAGTACAAGGAGGATACAGTGTACCCCCCATTATGTTAGTGGGCCGTTGATCCAAGAAGGATCATCCGCCCTTCAGCAGGTTTTAATTTTTACCCTGCTGGATGTATAGCCACCTTCAACACCATAAAAGTCTGGTGGGAGAACCTATTTAGTCACCGAGGAGCAGAATATGCGGCAACTATTTCTGTATTACATGGTATCAAGAGGACTTATAGAGGAAAATGTCATTAAGGTATTAAATTTTATTTAAAATGTATTTGTTATTCATTTGTATTCCTCAATAGGAGTAGATAGGTTCACCTACCGTCCGGTTCACACTCCTCTCCTGTTATTTGAAACAGGAGTAGAGATTTATCCATTGTTTCCTGCTTAGGATAGGGTTTCTGGTTATTTCTAAAGTTTTCTTATTCTTTTTCACACCCGGTAGTACATTTCGTCTTAGTGGCATTATCGACTTACTTGAGGTGATATGATTAAAAAAAAATGTATGTTAGGAAATTACACTAGCACCTGTTGGGATGCCCTTTATGAGTAACAGTAAAAAAATTGAACTATTTAACCCTAAAATAAGTTCAATGGTGTAACATTCTGACGTCTAATAAAGAAAATGAGTAACAAAGTAAAATAGACTGGGGCTGTTCCTATGAGCAATTTCTATTAGCCATTCACAGGCAATTATAAAATAAATATACGAAAAATGTCTAGGGACGGAGTATCGCAAAGTGATCGACTTTCAAACCCTAAAGTGGGTATTCATGGCTCAAGGGTTAAAATCCGACGTTATTGATTGGTAGGAATCGTTCAAGAAGCTGTAGATATCGCCATCATGCTAGTATTTTGAATGCTCCTAATGCAATACAAATACAGGAGAATCTCTACCTGTGTTTTATAGATTATGCAAAAGCGTTTGTTAAAGTACGTCACAAAGAAATGTTGGAGTTACTAGGTAACCTTTACATATAGGGGAAGAATATTTGAATAATCCAAAACTTATACTGGCAACAAGCCGCCTGCACGCGAATAGAAAATGAATTCTGTAAATATACAAAAATACAAAGAGGTGTAAGACAAGGACGTGTCTTCTTACCGGACTATACAATGAAGAGATCGTGAGAGAATTAAAAGTCTTATCAGGATTCATTATCGGCTGAACAAGCCGAACAATTATTATATGCAGATGACGCAGTGTTTATCGGCGACAAAGAAAGGAAACTACAAAACGAAGGAAAGTCAGAAGAATGGACCAAACATCAAATGCAAAAGGACGGAATACATTTTTGTTAGTAAACGAAACAGCTCAACATGTAAATTACAAATTGGAGATACCAAAACAGGTAGAAAAATTTAAGTATCTGGAAAGTGTTTTAACAAAGGACGGAAAATTCAACACTGAAAGCCTCAGTCGTATTGCTATAGCGAAATATGCCTGCCAAAAGTTAGGCAAAGTATTAAGTAATAGAAAAATTTTGTTAGAAACTAAGAAAAGAGTACTGAACTGCTAGGTAATATCAATCCTTTTTCTATGGCAGTGAATACTCGGCAAGCTCCTCACATAAAGCTCCTCACTGAAAAAAATAAACATGTAAACAACGATGAAGATTTAGGGAAAATGGAAACAAAGAGGGTGCATCATTAACCTCAGGAAGTACCAGATTAAATTTCTAAGGCACATAATGAGGAAAGAGGGCTTGCAAAATTTGATACTCACATGAGATATTAAAGACAAGATGGACAGAGGAAAACAATGCATAATCCATGTAGCAAGCTTAGGTAAATGAATGTCGGAGCAAGGCTTAAGAGATATAACAAAAAGACAAAATTTATTAAGAGCTACAAAGGACAAGAAGTTGTAGAGAGCCATGACCATCGACGTCCTAACGGGACACAGCACATAAAAGAACAATCTTAGTAATATAATCTTACAAAGTATAATGAGTTTTCCCCTCACTCGCTTCGCCATTTATAAAATCGTGTACCAAGTTTAAGTCGTTGCTGCAAAGTACATTTAAGACTAAAACGAAAGAGATTCCCCTCAATTAACCTTAGAATTCAATCCACTAAGAAGACGTGAGCTTTAATTAGCATTTCATTTTCTCACCCTAAAGCTATAAACTTACAACATCCCTATGTCTAATACTTGTAAGTTTCATTGTTCATCCGCGAGGCATAGCACTTATTTGTAAATAAAGAGGTTAATTATTAAAATAAATCAAGAAAGAGTTGAACGTTTTGAAGATGTGTCAATTTATGGAGAAAGCTGGTTTCCCATCTTGAAAAATATCAGGAATGGCAGTGAATTTTCAAAGTCTATATTCACCTCAAAAGATCCTTATCCAATAATTCCTAGCGGAAGTTTTACAGTCATATCACGTTGAAACTACATTTCCCACAGGATCACCAAAGGTAAGCAACGTCAAGCCAAGTCTGTAACTAGATGGGTGACCACTTAGGAATACAAGGTGTTGGAATATGTTAGTGGTGTAATGGATAATGGCACGGAATTGTTTATTAGAGAGCCTAGTTTCACTTCCAGTTGAGTTCGTTATATTCACTTACGCGTAAATACCCTTAGAAAAAGTATGAATCAACATCTTCTTCCCCAGCTATGTATTAATTAGTGAGACTTGTACCACTAAATGATTATCTCTAAAAAGGAAAAAACCTTGGAATCTAAAACATTTTTTCTGGTTTTGAATAATCTGAAAAGGTTTAATAAACAGTAGAAAATGAATGAATCAATGCAAAAACTTACCGAAAATGTAGTATTCACCTCAAGCAAGGCGATAATGCCACTAAGTTACAAGGGGCTACTGGGAGTGAAAGAGAATGAAAAGGAAGGAAGAAATCACAAACCCAATCCTAAATAGGGAACAAGATATAAACGTCTACTCCTATTCAAAAACCGGGGTGGAGTTGACATCTGTCATTATACAATGCATACAAATGCATTTAAAATATGCTGGTATTTTTATTTTTTTTATTTTTTTTTTTTTTTTTGTTGTTTGTCTAGCGTACGTTTCCGCGGGCCATACTTATATATTTCCTGAGCTAGATGAGTTGTTAATTATGACTATATTATTATTAGCATTCGTCGGCAGAAGCACATCTCTGTCATATAAAGTCATCTCTTGATCCGTAAGGAAATAATTCAACATTGGCTTCCGTGCAGAAGATTCAATATTACATCCCATTTCAGCACTCTTGCTTTTGTTTCTAACGATATTTCTTAATTCTTAATACATTGCTTAGTTTCTGGATGACAACTTTTCTTATTCCTTCACATAAAAATTCAGATTTCTGCTTCACATTTTCCTTCGGCTGTTACAACACTAGACAGTGTCAACTTAGAGAAACACCGCCATAGATTTTTGAAGAAATTGTTCAAATACAAGTACCTGGAGATCGAGATTAACAGGATGTGGCGATTGAAGACTGAGATGACAAAAGATAGAATCATTTCAATCATTAATCATTTCAACCCGAAGCAAGGCAATAAATCCACTAGAATTGAAAGAGTTACTGGGTGTTAGGGTATATAAGAAAAATATTATTAAGGACTGAGGACAATAAAAAAGGAATTAAGAAGACAGAAGATAACGATTGAGACTGCATTTAAATTTTTGAAGATCAAATTTGACTGGGAAGGAAGAAAACGGAAGAGACTTCAACGAGCGAGAAGTACAAAAAGGAACTGACTGTTAGCATACAACTTATGGTTAAATCTAGAC